GGCACTTACTCACTTAGACACTTATTTCTAATACATTATGACACATCTATAAATCTATTTTGGCTTGCAGATTGTGTGAAGGTGGTGAGCTATTAGATAGAATTTTGCTAAGGTAAAGTTTTTATGCAGTCTCACTGATTCCCAGGAAGATTTTATTTTTTTTATTTCTTTTGGCAGGTGTGTGTGTGTGGGGGGGGGGGGGGGTTGGTTGTATGAATTTCTTCTATCAGCCTCATTTTGTTTGTTTAATTCTCCAGAGGTGGGAGATATGTCGAGGAAGATGCCAAGGGAATCATAGTGCAAATATTATCCGCAGTTGCATTTTGCCATCTTCAGGGTGTTGTGCACCGTGATCTAAAACCAGAGGTATGGAATTGTCATTGTGGTGCTTTTAGCTAAGGAATTACTTGGAGGTTTGTTAACCACAGGACTTTTCTTGGCAGAATTTTCTTTTTGCTACAAAGGATGATGATGCGCTCTTAAAGGTTATAGATTTTGGTCTTTCTGATTATGTTAGGCCAGGTAATGACAGCTTCATCTTTTATTATTTGCAATAACTACTACAAAGTAAATAAGATTTGAAGTTCTACTTTATAACTTTGGATTAATCAATTTTGGAAAGTTTGACAAGAATAATTCCCACCTTATGGATATCAACTTTGAATAATTCCCAAAATAGACTTTAGTCGGAATTAATTGACCTCCCACTACTGAAACTCAGCTCTTTTCCACCCCTCACTCTCAGCTTTTGGTACCCCATGCCTCCATGGTAATAAAACTGAACCAGCTGAATGGAAAAGTTATCTGTAACTAAAACAACAATATATAAATCAACTAAAAATAAAAAAAGGTTGCAAAATGATGATAATTAAGTGGAAGGTGAGCATATAATTAAGTTTGGGTCATACTATTTGGAAGCGCCACAAAAAAACTAATATTGTCTCTGTGATTGATTGAAGGATCATTAGATCCATTACTAATAACTGAACTCAAGTGTCCACAAACAGAACTTTTAAGCTGCATTAATAAAGTCAAGGAAGCTGTAGTGTGAGTTAAAATGAGAAATCAAGCTAAGTCACAATATGGAACAACAAAGAGCCCTACTTCCCAAATAAATAAAATAAACCTATTACTATGTTTTATAAAGATTCAAATAAACTATGTGCTGCTTACACTAAAAATACCTTCAAATCAGCCTTCTGCCAACCAATGGCTATTGAAACTGTCATACGAGTGTTTTTCAATGAATTCAGAAGCATAGTCATGCTTGAGGAAGTTGTTTATATTAGTTCATTGTATCGCAAGATTCGCAACTTATAGAGCTGCTGATATTGAAAAAAGAGAAGAAATCATTTATGCTACCAAAATCTGGCATCTGAGCTGCTAGGGTGAGAGTGGATTGGTTTTTTTTTTATTTTATTTTTTTTGTTTTTTTTTTATTTTTTTTTGGTTGGGGGAGGTGGTGAGGCTATATTAACCCAATTGGAGATATAAGTTGTTTTCCGTATTCAATTAGGACCATTTGTGAAGACACTCCCTAAAGTTAGGAATCTAGGAATATTTTTACGGAGTATTTAATAATCAAATGGTGGAATTTATTTATAGCTGATGTCTTAAAGTTCAGAAGTTGATATTATTCTTATTCAAAAAATGTTTAATGTTATTACTTATGACCCAGCTGTTGTGGCTTAAGGTTGATCTGATGTGTTAAATATTTGTGGACTAATTGGTGGACTTATTTTACATTGAGAATTGATTCATAGAACTTATGATGTGCAGATCACAGGCTTAATGATGTAGTTGGAAGTGCCTATTATGTTGCACCTGAAGTGCTGCATAGATCATATAACAGTGAAGCAGATATGTGGAGCATTGGTGTCATAACGTACATCTTGTTATGTGGAAGCAGACCTTATTATGCACGAACTGAATCAGGAATATTCCGTTCTGTATTAAGGACTGATCCTAATTTTGACGATATACCTTGGCCCAATATATCAGCAGAGGGCAAAAATTTTGTCAAAAGGCTACTGAACAAAGACCACAGGAAAAGGATGACGGCAGCACAAGCACTAGGTGAGTACTTTCTTTTGCTTGGGTCTATGTAAATGGTTTATGGCTTCCTTATATCTCATATGCCTAGTTACTTTCCTGACATAACCACTGATGACATTGCTTGCAGCTCATCCATGGTTAAGAGATGATAACAGACCTCTTCCTTTAGATATATTCCCAATCAAGCTAGTAAGGTCATATATGCGGGCCACCCCTCTCAAACGAGCAGCTCTAAAGGTGAGAACCTTTATCTCTGATGTTTACCTTTGGCATGTCTTAAGCTAAATTAAACTTTGTCCCACATCGGAAGGGAATCCTTAGATTTATAATGACTAGCATTTGCTCTCCTAAATAAAGAGTTGTCAGCATTCAGCAATGTGTCTATTAAACACATCAACTCATTTGAGTGCTGAATTGCTACTCTAGCTCAACGCGATCAAGGATGCTAATTCTGTGAAACATTTTTTGTGGTCCCTCAAGACATTGGTAGGCTGTAACAGATGATCGCAGTAGTAATGAATCTGCATGTAAATTTGGAAAGTTTTTCCTATGAGTCAATGACAATGCTTATAAATTATAGAAATAACATGTATTACTCTGCATAAAATCCGTTACCATTAAATAACTATATGCATAATTGCAGGCTCTTTCAAAAGCTCTGACAGATAATGAGCTCTTTTACCTCAAAGCACAATTTAGGCTCCTAGAGCCAAAAGATGGGTGTGTGTCTTTAGAAAATTTTAAAGTGGTAAGTGCAACTTCACCCTCAAATTTCCAACTGGTCTACTCAGATAGATGAAAATTCTACTTGAGCTTACTTCTTTTTTCTTTTTATTTTTTGTTATAATCATGTCACTAATTTACAGGCCCTCGCGAGAAATGCAACCGATGCCATGAAAGACGCCAGAGTTTCTGATTTTTTGACTATTGTAAGACAGTTTGATATGTCAAAGTTGCCTATTAGCTAACATTTAATTACTTGACACGTTGACAAACTAATAATATTAATGTGACTTGAGTTACATTTTTAATCATTAACTACATTAAAACCAAGTAATGTTTTTTAGTAAAAGCTTACAATTTGACCCTATTAATGTAGATGGAACCATTTTCATCCAAGAAGATAGATTTTGAAGAGTTTTGTGCTGCGGCAATCAGTGTATATCAGCTTGAGGCTCTTGAAGACTGGGATAAAATTGCTACCATGTCGTTTCAGTATTTTGAGCAGGAAGGTAACCGGAGGATCTCAGTTGAGGACTTTGCAAGGGTACGCACTTAGTTAATCAACTTTCTCCTATTCTTTCTGTGGTTTCATGTTCTGATCATTTTTGCGCATTATGCATAGGAATTGAACTTGGGCCCGACAGCTCATACTTTAGTCAAGGATTGGATACGAAGCTCTGATGGAAACATTAATTTTATCGGTTACACCAAATTCTTGCACGGTGTTACAATACGTGGCTCCAATACAAGACGACAGTAGCTTTTTGAGTAGTCTACTAGCGGGTATGCAGTTTGTACCATCACAAATGAAATTCTGTTGAATTCTAATACGGTTTTACCTGTTATTCGGAGTGATGGGGTTATGGAAACCCCTTGGCGGGGAGCAATTGAGCTCCCCCACCTCCACCCCTCAATTTTTTCACCCCTGATGTTGTAAATTTTTAATATGGGGGGTTGCATATATAGTGACAACCTTGGAAAATCTGACTGTAAAACATTCAGCTGTTTATTACAGCCTGTATATTAGTTGTTGCAGCATAGAAGATTAGAATTTGATGCTTGAAGGCTTTCTGAAAAACTCAGAATGTTTCATACTTTGGATTAGCTTTTGTAGTCCCCTCTTGTACGCAGGAATTCTTCGCTTTCAGCAGATGATGATTGTATGAGAAGCCCCCTCCAATGTTAATGCCTGTCTGGCTGTATCAGTTTATGCTGATGTTCAATTGTTCAGCCTTCAGCGGCTTCTACTAATGGAGTTGATACCCATGTAGCGCCTTGAACGAATTTCGCGAGGACAACAATGTTAAGGATCTATTGAACATTGTAAGTAAAACTCTAAAATGTACAATCTTCTCACAAAAATGTATTCCCTCCGTTGTTTTCTCAAGTGGCCCACTTCTCAAAAGCTGCCGTTTTGGTCCTTTTGGTCAAACATACCCACTGTTCTCTTTCCTCATCAACAATGGAATTTGAGAATTTTTTAAGAAGGGAGATGGAGGAATTTTTCACATTGCAGGGAATGCTCTCAAAAAAAGACAAACACCTACCATTTAAGTATTAAAACGTGAACACTTAAATCGAGACATCACTTAATACACAAAACGAGACATTTTAGTTATTTTTTTACCGAATCTGAGCTCAATTTGGACACTTAAGGGCCAAAATAGCTTCCAAAACCTTAAATGGAACATTTTCCTATACGCAAATTGATAAAAAAATATTATAGTAATAAATTGAGAGTGGGCCCACTAACGGAATTTTTAACAGCGAGATAACGACAAGGTTACCGTATGGAAACAAAATGTATATATTGGGACACAACGTTGAAAAGTGGAATTAACAGGGTTATTATATGGAAAAACCCTATAATAAAATACTTTGTAATAGAGGAACCTTACTAAATAAAGAAGTGTGGTAATTATTATAGAATAGATGTAAAAAGGAAATGTTGCAGTGAATATGAAATGGGAGAATTCCTTAATATTCCTAAATTGTAAATGTCATATTATTTGACCTACTATATTTGGTAAGATTTTAGGAGATAAATTTTGGGTAATAAAGTAAATTATGCACACAATTTCTCTCTTTTCCTTAAATATTATGCCAAAAGCTGAAAGGGATTAACCAAATGTGCTAGCTAGTTTGCGATTAACGACAATTAACAACAACGAAGACGGAAAAAACAAGTAATAAACAAGACAAGGAGAATTTATCGTGGGAAACCCGATATCTGGGAGAAAAACCCTCCAATCCACTATGGAGTAAACAATTTGATGAAGAACAATGTATTTTACAAGCTTTCAATCACCATGAAAGCTCCCACCCCAAACTCACCCTCTCAAACACTCAAACTCTAAGTGTTTGGGTATTTCATGAGGTTTTTTCTCTCTACATATTTCCTCTCATCCTATTACTCTCTACAATGACAAAATAAGAATATATATAGTGCTAGAAGATCAACGGCTAAGATTACATACCGAACGAAATAAAAGAAATCACACGCTGAAACAGGGGTTTGATGGTTCGACTGTATCTACCCAGAGTTCAATCGAACTTGGTGTGGTTCGGTCGCACTTCTTCCTTGGTCCAACCAAACCTCCTCTAGGAATCAAAGAGCTACATAGTCTGCCTCAAATGCTTAGAAGCAACTAGGTTCGACCCAACTTTTCAACAGTTCAATTGAACTACCGCACTGCGTGGACAACTATTCTTAAAACAGTCATAACTCCCTCGATTCTAAACCAAATCAAGCTTATGACCAGCTGTTGAAAAACTCTTGAGACGAGCTATCACATCCAACTTGAATCATCTCAATATCATTCCTAGATTTTGAGATATGCTCATTTGAAGTCAGCCCTCTCCATCCACTATTGCTTAACACCAAGCAATAGTACATAGCTTAAACTCCTAAGCTATGCATCCCCTTAGCCTTCTTGAACTATTCTCCACACTTCTCAAACCCAACAAAAGCTATGAATCAAGTAAATTTAGTTAGAGGAAGTATATTTTTCTTATGGTTGTTTATTAAATTTGACGGTGAAGCTTCCGGAGATGGTGGTGTTGGTGTTGTTGGACATGATGTTTGTTATGGTGTTGGGGTTCGTCTGCCATTGATGATGAAAAAATTTGCCATTATTTACCATATTTGCCATTTTGATAAACATTAAACATTAAATGCAAATATGAGAAACATAAATGCATATATGAGAAACATAAATGCAAATACGTTCTCTTCTACTCGAACTTAAAATACTATACTCCTAAAAAAATGCTACGCAGTAGATTATCTTCCAAAGAAATATAGTGTGCCAAATTGCGAATCCATCAGACAGATACCAAACTTTAAATGCCAATAACTTCAACTTTTCCCTCAACTTTGAATTACTCTCTTCTTTAGCTCACTTTCTCTCTCTTAAAAAAAAACCTTTTCACGTAAATCCTGGCATGGGGCACTGTTTCAGCAAGAAGACTACTTCACTGGCAGTCAACGACGCCATTGAAGCCCCAACTCCGGCGAGTGTACAAACGACGCCGTTCCCTAGCCCTTTACCCGCCGGGATAAGTCCTTCTCCGGCGAGAACACCGGGAAGGAGAATAATGAAATGGCCCTTTCCGCCGCCGTCCCCGGCGAAGCCTATAATGGCGGCGTTTCGGCGGCGGAGGAAGGAGTGTGGTGGGATTACGCCGGAGAGGACGGTGGAGCAAGAAAGAGAGAGGGGTTTAGACAAGAATTTTGGGTATTCCAAGAATTTTGGGGCAAAGTATGAATTAGGGGAGGAAGTGGGTCGAGGGCATTTTGGTCATACTTGTTGGGCAAAGGGTAAAAAAGGGGATGTTAAAGGTGTTTCTGTTGCTGTCAAGATTATTTCTAAATCTAAGGTGCGGTATTATGTGCCATTTTGGTTTGTTTGATGGTGAAATGAGGACTGTGTTAAATTGTTGATGTATATATGTGTATGTTTTTTTGGTGTTTAGAGGCAAAAGGGCATGTGATGAGGATCAATCCCAAAATCTCTTAGAATCGGAAGGAGAACTCTAAGCTCTAACGACTTGAGCTAATCCTCACTCTCTATATGTGTGTATCTGTTGGTGGTATCGAGATTGCGAGGTTGTTATGTGTGGCAGTGTGGGAGATTGATCAATTTGAATATTAACATAGGGTTTCTTGTTATAATGCTTGATTGTTACATTTTTGTCTGTTTGTACCTGGAATTGGATTTTTTTGGTGGGTGTTTTTGAGTATTAAATAAATAATTATGAGATTTGGACTGTACTTGTGACTTTGTGAGTATGTGTTTGATTTGGTTGCTACTTGTTAAATTATGCAACTATTTGTTTTGTAGAATTGTTAAGAAATCCTTTGGTAAACTTATTTTATTTGGCTGTGGATCTCTATTTTTGTAGTTAAGTAATCATTTGATTTGATATTTTAAATTGAAGGGCTGGAATGGATTTACAAGGTTGGTTTTGGTGCTATATAGTTAGGGGAAGCAGAGATCTTTTATATGAGCTTGGGACTAATATTGCGAACTTAGAACATTCTATTAATCCAGTGCCAATATCATGATACAGGGATTGGTTTATGTTTTGTCTCTATCTCGAGACTCATAACCTTCATTGATGTTTATTGATGGTAGTTTCTGAGTGTAGTTTTATTGAATTGTAGGGTATAATTTAAAAAGTATGTTTTAGTCTTAGTATTAGTATTAGTCTTAAGTTTATTGAGTTATAATGAATGAAACTGATGACTTTGGGCAGATGAATTCAGCAGTTGCAATTGAAGATGTCCGCAGGGAAGTGAAAATGTTGAAAGCATTGTCTGGCAACCCGCATATGCTCAAATTTTATGATGCATTTGAGGATGCTAACACCGTCTACCTAGTAATGGAGTAAGTGCTTCCTGAATTCTGCTTTAGTGCTTAATGCAAGGTTTGACTTTTGAATCAGTTACTATTGAATGTGCTTATGGCATTTTATCAGCACATGACACAACATATTGCAGGGATTCACAGATAATGCTGATTGTAGAATTCATAAAATGGTGTCTAATTTTAATTTGTCTTATCTATTTGTCATCTTAGAAATGATGCCTCACTGAGGATACAAGTGATTTGAAAAAAAAAAAAAAAAGAATCAATATAAATGTACTTGTGCTTAGTTTGGCACTTAGGCCTTTAGGTATACTCAAGTTTACTGATCAGTCTTTATGAGTGGTTAAGGAATTAATACATTATGACAAATCTAATTCGACTTGCAGATTGTGTGAAGGTGCTGAGCTATTAGATAGAATTTTGCAAAGGTAAAATTTGATGCAGTCTTATTGATTCCCAGGGGATTAGGGAGGGGGGGGGGGGTGGATTCTATGAATTGCTATACTTATTTTCAGGGATCAGCCTCATTTTGTTTGTTTAATGCTCCAGAGGTGGGAGATATGTCGAGGAAGATTCCAAGGGAATTGTAGTGCAAATATTATCCGCAGTTGCATTTTGCCATCTTCAGGGTGTTGTGCACCGTGATCTAAAACCAGAGGTATGGAATTGTTATTGTGGCTCTATGCTTTTAGGCTTAAAGCTAAGGAATTACTTGGAGGTTTGTTAACCACCAGAGGTTCCTATTTGTTTGCAGAATTTTCTATTTGCTACAAAGGATGATGATTCGTGCTTGAAGGTTATAGATTTTGGTCTTTCTGATTATGTTAGGCCAGGTAATGTCAACTTTATCTTTTTTTGTATTTGCAATTCTACAATTAAGTAAATAAGATTTTAATTTCTACTTTATAGCTTTATTAGCTTTATAAGGAAAATTTGACAAAAATAATTCTCACCTTATGGCCATCAACTTCAAATAATTCCCAAATGGACTTAAACCCATCTTGTGCTTCCCCCCTTGGTAACTTGAATAAGTATTAACTTTTTTAAGTAATAAAACCGAACAAGCTGAATGGAAAAATAATCTGTAACTAAAACAATTCTATTTAAATCAACACAAAATAGATTCATTAAGGTTTTTTTTTGGTGTGCAGATCAATGGCTTAATGATGTAGTTGGAAGTGCTTTTTATGTTGCACCTGAAGTGCTGCATGGATCATATAACACTGAAGCAGATATGTGGAGCATTGGTGTCATAACGTACATCTTGTTATGTGGAAGCAGACCTTTTTACGCAAAAACTGAATCAGCAACATTCTGTTCTGTGTTAAGGGCTAATCCTAATTTTGAAGATATACCTTGGCCCAATATATCAGCAGAGGGCAAAAATTTTGTCAAAAGGCTACTGAACAAGGATCCTAGAAAAAGGATGACGGCAGCACAAGCACTAGGTGAGTACTTTCTTTTGCTTGGGTTATGTTAATAATTTATGGCTTATATCTCATAAACCTAGTTACTTTCCTGACTTAACCACTGATGACATTACTTGCAGCTCATCCATGGTTAAGAGATGAAAACAGATCACCTCTTCCTTTAGATATACTCCCGATCAAGCTAGTTAGGTCATATGTGCGGGCCACCCCTCTCAAACGAGCAGCTCTAAAGGTGAGAATCTTTGTCTCTGATGTGCACACTTTTGTAGGTTTGCATGTCATAAGCTAAACTAAACTTTGTTCCACATCGGAAGAGAATCCTTAGATATATAATGACTAGCATTTGCTCTCATAAATCAAGAGTTGTCAGCAATGTGTCTATTAAATACTTCGAATCATTTGAGTGCTGAATTGCTGCTACAGTATATCTCAACAAGATCAAGGATGTTGATTCTTTGAAACAACTTTTATGGTCCCTCAAGATATTGGTAGGTTGTAATAGACAATAATAGTAATGAATCTGCATGTATATGTGGAATGTTTTTTCTATGACATGCCTAATAATTACAGAGATTGATTCTTCCCTTAACACGTACTTCGTATTATTCTGCCTAATAATTGCAGGCTCTTTCAAAAGCTCTGACAGATAATGAGCTCTTTTACCTCAAAGCACAGTTTAGGCTCCTAGAGCCAAAAGATGGGTGTGTCTCTCTTGAGAATTTTAAAGCGGTAAGTGCAACCCCCACCCTCAAATTTCCTACTGGTCTACTCATATAGATAAACATTCTAATTGAGTCCCCCCCCCCCCGCCCCTCTTCGTTTCTTTTTTTTTTTTTTTTAAAAAAAAAATAAAAAAAAATCATGTTGCTTATTTACAGGCCCTCGCGAAAAATGCAACTGATGCCATGAAAGACGCCAGGATTCCTGATTTTTTTACTATTGTAAGACAGTTTGATATGTCAAAGTTGCCTATTTAGCTAATGTTTGAATACTTGATAGATTGACAAAACTAAAAACATTAACGAAAGTAAAGTTACATTTTTTATCATTAGTTACATTGGAACCAAGTAAATTTTTTTTAGTACATGTTTCCAATTTGAGCTTTTTAATGTTGATGGAACCATTTTCTTCCAAGAAGATAGATTTTGAAGAGTTTTGTGCTGCGGTAATTAGTGTATATCAACTTGAGGCTCTTCAAGATTGGGATAGAATTGCCACCGTGGCATTTCAGTATTTTGAGCAGGAAGGTAACCGGAGGATCTCAGTTGAGCACTTTGCAAGGGTACGCATTTAGTTTATCAACCATCTCCTATCCTTCTTGTGGTTTCAAGTTACCGTTCTCTAAATATTTTTGCTCATTATGCATAGGAATTGAACTTGGGCCCGACAGCTCATGCTTTAGTCAAGGATTGGATACGCAGCTCTGATGGAAACATTAATTTTATGGGTTACACCAACTTCTTGCACGGTGTTACAATACGGGGCTTCAATACAAGACGGCAGTAGCTCTTTGAGTAGTCTACTAGCAGGGCATGCATTTTGTACCATCACAAATGAAATTCCTTTTGAAAACTAATACTGATTATCGTTGATTTGGAGTGATGGGGTTATGGAAACCCCTTGGTGGGGAGCAATCGCGCTCCCCCACCTCTACCCCCCAAAATTTTGTAAATTTTCAATATTGACAACGTTAAAAAATCTGACTGTAAAACATTCAGCTGTTTAATATAGCCTGGAAGGATATTAGTTGTTGCAGACTTGCAGCATAGAAGATTAGAATCTGATGCTTGAAGGCTTTCTGTAAAACTCAGAATGTTTCATACTTCGAGTTAGCTTTTGTAGTCTCCCCTGTAAGCAAATGATGGTTGTAATATTGTATGAGAAGCCGCTTCAATATCAGTGTTACTTGGCCTGTATGGCTGTATCAGTTTATGCTTATGTTCAATTGTTCAGTGGCTTCTGCTAATGAAGTTGATATCCTTGTAGGCCTTGGACGAATTTTGCGAGGATAACTATGTTAAGGATCTATTGAACATCATAGGTACAATCTCCAAACAAAAATGTACCACTCTTATTACTGGTCGTTTTTAGTACTGAAAGCTGTACTTAAGTTGTGCTCTCTTCCACTCGAACTTGATAAAGATACCAAAAATTACTAGATTAATGCTCTATTTTATTCCAAAGATTATAGTGTGCCAATCCATCAGACAAATGCCAAACAAGATCAATTATTGGGTTTTTGTGCTTTGGGGCTTAACACCCAACATAGGTGGTCATACACTCATACTTTTGTGAAATTACATGAAGCCCAAATGATTTAATTATCCTACCGTAAGAAGTTTCAAATAAAAAAGCTTGCTCTATTACATATCAAAATTTGACGAAATTTTTGTAAGAAAATTGTATACAATTAAGGCTCACCATTTATATTAGATGGGTACATCAAACTACTCAACTTGTATCTCTACTTAATCTAGACATCTTTAATAGACATGATAGTAATTTCCTTGCACTTGCTCCACTTGTTATAATTAGTCATCTTCCAACTAGAGTAAGAATCATCAAACCCCAATTTCATTGGATATCTAGCAACAAAAGTTCACATTTTATCTTAAGTGAAGTCGAATCAACCATTAAAACAAAGACACTTAAAGTATACCGTATTATATCCAAAATTACAAGAATTAATAATAATACGACAGTTACTTATAGACGGGGATAGGAATTAATCTTACATGTGATGTCGTGACTTTAAAAAAAATTCAAAGAGTGACAAATGCAAGTGTTAGTACATGACAATTAAGTGGTAGTTTTAGGGCCCATTTGGTGTTAGAAGTCAAGCCAGATTGACATTGGTAGGGACTTGGCTAACGATTATGCCTAGTTTGTGCAAGTTTTTCAATAGACAGATTATCTACTCATTATTTCTCCAGAAATTTCTTATTCTATTCAAATATTATACAACTATAGAAGTATATATGCTTTTCTCTAGTTGGCCAACATGCAAATGTGTTCTTGTTTTTCTTTGTTCCTCTAAGACTGATCTAGTTCTTGTTGTTTTTCCATTTCGTCTGTTATTGATAAAGTCGAAAAACTTTGTGAGATTTTTGGTTAAGTACAATAAACAAGTGTTGGGTTTTACGGAGTATTTCTTTAGTTTTTGTTTGTGTTGTGTGTATGTTCATGCGTGCGACAAACAAGTGTTGGATTTTAATTATTTAGTTTTTGTTTGTGTCATGTGTATCAGTGTATGTTCATGCGCGCATGATGGTGTAATATGTAAGTTTTTGTGACCTTAATACGAATTATGACTCTTAAGATCATAGTTATATACTAGTATATAAAGTTAGGTCTTATCAAATCATACATCACCCTATAAAAGTAAGAAACATCAATTTTAATAACCACTTTAAGTAAATAGTTTGAACAACTTTGTGTTTTTTTGTATAGTGATACAAGTATAGGGTCAAAAATCGTATGACAATAGGGCATGAGTGACACTTTAGTTAAGCAAGGGTAAAGAAGCAATACTATTATTGTTTGGATGTTATTTTCATGTTTTGGTGTTTTGTCCTCCCTCTTTGATGTGAGTAATGCCATAGTGCTTGATGAATTTGGAGGTTGGAGGTTGGTGCTTGGATGATGGTTATTATACTATGGAAGTATGAATGATTTTCCATTTTATCTATACATTGAAAAATGAATTATAGAAAAAATTACAAGCGAATACTTAAAAAAAAAATTAGGTATGTAATGATGTAAGTTGTTAGCTTTTGTGGCTATGCTATGGATGATATTTTCATCCACTATAGCTAGATTAATTGATACGAACTTAATTGACAAACTTCAGAGCACATTTTACACGATAAAATCTATATTATTATTATTATTATTATTATTATTATTATTATTATTATTATTATTATTATTATTATTATTATTATTATTATTATTATTATTATTATTATTATTATTATTATTATACCGAAAGATGAACCTGCCATATCAACAATAGATTCTTCGTACTATCTCGTCACTCAAAATTCAAAAGGAACCAAAAACAGTTGCACATTTTTTCTTATCATGTGTCTACATTGAAAAATCGAGTTTTGAATGATTGTTAATTTGGAGCTAATAAGCACATAAACAAACAAACAAAAACGTTGGATGGTTGCTAAAATGGAGCAAGTAAGTACACAAGTAAACAAACAAATAGTTCTGCTACATACAATAGTTAGGATGAAAAGAAAAAAAAAAAACAAGCAAACATCCATATGTACTTCGTATATAATTTCACTCCTGGCAACCCGAACAAGGAGGATGAGAGTTTGGCCCACAAACAAGGTTTTGAAGCTTCCATACTAAAACCAATTGGCAATAGTAGGAGGTACTCCTCTACCTTATAAAGTGAAACTATCTCTCCACTTTCTCCAATGTGAGACACTCATAAGTGGGCTACAATGGGTTTCAACAATTTCTTTTCACTCTTTACATTTTTTATATGTTATTCCATTTTTTCAATTATTTTAAAACTCTTATGCCGTTTGGCCATACAAAATCAAATGACATACGAAGCACTTTATACCCATATAGGCCATATGCTTCGCGTTTTACAAATTACAATTTTTATTTTTAATCCCACTTTACACCCACATGTAAGAATATTACTTAGAATATTAAGAAAGGGAAGTAGAGTATTGTGTATGAAATTATGGAGATGATCGAGGGTATATATTTACTTCTACGATTCAAGATACCCTATATTTGAAAGATAACACTTCCCAAGCAAAAATATGGAGATGGAATGTGTATGAGTGTGAAATTAGGCACATATAGTCATACACTAACATCTAAGCCCACAAAATTGATCTAGTTTAAATTAGTTGAAAATGAGGTAAACAATACCAAAACAAATAATTTGATACTTCAAAATATCTTATAATATGATTGAAAGTCAAAAATGCAGTGTTTTCCATGTTTGTTGGGTCTAGGGTGTAGAATTTTGAGGCATCACTTGGATTGCAACATGAATAGCTGGTTAAATGTAGCTCTATCAAATTAAGGGAATAGGATTCCTCTTTGAACATTGAATAAGAAGTATGGAAAATAATAATGTGATAAAGTAGATGAGGAATACCATAAAGTAACCAAATTCCTCCAATCCCTTCATACCTTTCCAAAATAATACTTTAATTTCAAATCATTAGTTTTCATTAGGGATTAAGCAATCAACTATCTAGCAATTCCCTCCATTTAGGCTTTGTTTTAAGGGTAGTAGCCTCACTAATTATATTAAGGTCCCGTGCATATTAACTTTAAATCTTTAATAGTATTTTATTAAGGCAATTAACTTTATAACATATTAAACAACTTTTTTTTTTTTTTTTACCTTACTGATTTAAGCAAAAATGAATAATAAACTCTGAAGCCATTGTCACAATGCAAGAGCAATACAAATTACGTACAAATGAAGCTAGAGCATTTAAACATGTGACCTATCATACACTAGCCCGACCTCAATCTTAACCACTAGGCCAATTGAACTATTCTTCTGAGAAAAAAAATCAAATATAAATAATATAATAAACACAAAAAAACATCACTAAAGGATCTATTCCCTACTTTGTGATGCATTAGACGACAAATGAAGTTACAACAAACCATGATACTAAAGCAACTACAAATACTAAAAGATATAAGTTGAAAGTTTAACCAATTAATTAAGTGTACATTAGTTGTGGCCCTTTCAATCTCATTAGATATAATTAAATTATATATACATGGAACTTTGAAATTAATTTTAATCTCTTGTCTCCACATACAAAAGGCATTTTTATTTTGTTTGCTGGTATGGTGAACAATCCTAATAATATAAATTTTACATGTCATAGGTTAGCTAGCCCAATTACACAGGTGGGCTCGAACTTGTGACCTCAAAATTACAAAGTAAGTTTGCCGGCCTCTATCTCATAGTTTAAGAGCATAACTTTGCCTAATCTAAGTTCTAAGGAGAATTTGAAAAATACTAATTTACTACGGAGTAATAAGTTTAAACACCTTTTATTTGTTTGTTTGTTTTGTTATATATATATATATATATATATATATATATATATATATATATATATATATATATATATATATATAATAAATTGTTATAATACCTTTAATTAAGAACTATTTCGACATTACAAGTATTATTTTGGAATAGAGGTACATTATCTAATTTTTTAAGAAAATCTAGCCACCACTATAATATACAACATAGCATTAAGATTTTAATTCAACTTTTATATCCAGTTATCCACTAATCTATGACAAAATTTAATTTAATTAAGGACAAACCATGTATTATTATTCTTATAAACATCAAAAGAGAAAGAAATATTCCTATAATTTCGGAATGTACTCTATAATAATGATGCCCATCTCACATGGGTATTTTTTTGGTTGTGATTATTAATTATGAGGAACATTGTTTTGTGGAGGAGGATAAAAGACTATACATATAAATTAAATTTCAAAGCTAGCTTTATGATGTTTGAAGCATGTCCCAAAAACATGGAAATCTAATTGATTTTAAAGGCAATCAAAAACTTGGTGACCCAAAATGTTTGGGTCCATTTTAATAATTTAGAATAATATTAAGGGACAATGAACAATTGTATGTTATAGATTGGTGTTATTTGTCCCAAACTACAAGCCAACAGTCATGAGACTCATGACCCCACCCAACTTTGTGGAAATGGAATTAAATCTATCCCTTGACAACCAAACACCACCCAACTTTTTACATAAATTCTGGAGTGGAAGAAATTTGTTGAGCTTAGATTTTATTTTATTTTTTTTAGTTTGAACTGTCCAAAAAAAATAAAAAGATTTTTTTGGTACTACCTTTGTACTTATTCTTGTATAACCACACAAGGCAAGACACCTCCTTGTCAATTACAGTTAGATAATTGTAATAAAACTTCCTACAAATTATATTATTAATTTTTTTTTTATTTTATTTTTTTTGGGTGCTGCAAATTGCAAGCTAAGTAATCCCTCTTTTGCGTTCACATTATCAAACAATTTTATGACTCTTCTTTGATTTCGCTCTTGGAATCTTCCACTTTTTTCGGCTATTGTTGATGTCACATACTAATGCCTTAATTAACAAATTAATACATATTAAAAAATAATAATAATAAAATAAAGTATTTTAAAAAGATCTAACAAAAATTAATCATTGGACACACTTACACAATTTGAATTGATAAATTTGAACAAGCAAGACACATAATAATTAAGGAGAAAATCATAATAATACTATATATATATTTATATATTTAATATTATAAAAAATTTCATCATTGTCAACTACGATTAATCACTTGAGTTTCAATCTCACGCGCAAAAACAAATCAAGAATCTAAAAATTTACATCTTGATAATAATAATAATAATAATCAAATTAAACTTGAATTCCAAACTTTCAAGAATCAAGATCCTTTACAAATCAATAATCACACAATAAAATCAAGCCTTAAAGCACAAGAAATTATGATGATGATGATGATGATTATGATGATGATGTGGGTTCATCATACGGTGATGCTCACGATCAATCATGCCTTGAACGTTACGAAAATGCTCCACGTGGCATGGAATAGTGATTGGACCTTTTTGATCAAATCCATATTCTTCTTCAGCTTCCTTAAGGAGTTTGATGAACAAAGGATGATTTATGTACACAATTGGTATTATAAACCTTTCAAGTTTTTCCTCTCCTTCATGCCCTACTAAAACTGCCATGCACCCTTTTGGTACGCTCTTGATCTCGTCCTTGTCGCCGCCACCCATACCGCGATGATTGTGATGATTGTGGTGGTGGTGGAGGAGGTGTGAGAGGTGGAGGTTGAAGTTCATGTGTTGTCTTTCACCACTACCCATTGTAAGAGATTTTAGTATGAATCAACAAAAAGTTTTGGTTTTTTGGCTTTTTTTTGAGATTAGGTTTTTTTTGTAAGCTGAGGTTTAAATTTGTGTTATAAGAAAGAAAGAGAAGAAAAAGGCCAAGGATCGGAAGAAGAAATAGTGAGAAGAAAAAGAGTAAGAGAGGAGTTGATTAAAGAAGTTGGGATGTTGCTCATGATAATTTGTAAAAAAACATATAGGAATTTTTATTTTTGGTTGAGATGAAGAAGACTTTGATGCGTTATGTGGTTGTGTATTTATAGGTGGGATGAAGGGTTTTTGGCCTTTTAGGGGTAGAAAAGGGAATTTCTATTTTATTTTTTATTTTTTATTATTTTTTGGGTGAGGTTTCTTAAATTGCACACCAAGTTTTTTTTATTTTGTAAATTTTGCAAATTGGAGATTTTTTGTTTTTTAAAGGTTAATAATCTTTAAATTTTTATCCTATAAAAAAATAAAAATTATCCTATATTTTTGGGTATTTTGAAAGGGTAGGTTTTCTTAAGGGAGAATATAGAGACTTGGGGGAGGGTTGGTGGGATAAAATAATGTAAATTGACTAATTGACTTTTACTCGGTATTTTCTAGCATATCAACGGCAATTAACTGGAAATTTGGATTGCCAGCGTGGCAGGGTTCATGGAACATTGGTGCTATATCTAGAGAGAGAGAGAAAAAAAAAAGGATAAACATATTAATTCCATTTTTTTTTTTTGGAAGGAATAAATCGTGTGGGGTTGCACCATAATAAATAAAAAGGAAAGTAAAATATCGAGTGGGAAAATAAATATTCTTATGTGGTGTGTGGCTCTAACATTTACATGTTCTCATTTTTTTTTTTTCAATAGTGGTTTTAAGAAATCACCTTTTAATGCTCCTCCTTATAAGAATATTTATATTACGTTCGATTTTTTAATTTTTTTTAAGTTGTAATTTTTGGGTATTATTTGTGAAATATAAAATATTCTAAAGTTGCAACTAAAAAAATAAGAGGTAGTATATGTATGCTAATAATGGAGCTTTTAATATTAACGATAATATTTTATACATTATTGTGTATATATAGTTCTATACTATGATTATTTAGTTCATAGATTAACTAGATTTGCAATGAGATAGGTCTAATGATTTTTGCTGAACTTAAATTATTTTTACTTAATTTAAATTAATTTTACTAAACTGAAATCATTTTTGCTGAATTGAAATTATTTTTACTGATTCTATTATAATTTTTCATTAACTGATTTTTACTAAACTGAAATTATTTTTACTGAACTGAACTTATTTTACTGAACTGAAATTAATTTAAAAGAACTGGAATTGTTTTTACTGAATATTGTTTTTAAGATGAAGTGAACCCGTTATTTGGGTCCAATTTTGAAAACTTTGACCATTAATTCTTGTTAATTTATAAGAGATTATATGTTCATATAATATCTTATTTGATTTGTCACATTGTATATTTTATTACTTCGTATTATCTAGTTTTATAATTTTTGTGCATATGAAAATAGAGATATATACATTTATGATAGGTCTTGAAGACCATGAAAAGTAAAAAAGAATAGTACTATAGGGATGGAGTGAGTATTATTGTTATTTTAAGAAACATTAAAGATTTGTTTTACTACATTTTTTTTTATGTCCAATTATTTTACTACACAGTATTGATGAAATTTTATTTTTTTTTAACAAATCAATTCATTAATCAAAGTCGGCATTTTCAATTGAAATTTAAATTATCCTAAATTTGATAATCATCCTTATTCATAAACACTGAAATACAATGTATTGGAAATAAAAATATAAAAATTAATATTAAAATCTCTAGTAGGATTGTGCTTTCATGAAGAAATGTCAAACAATAGTGGGAAACAAATAAAACGTTTTTGGGTAAAGTCAATATACATAGGCATTAGTCCAAATACAATTAATTACTTGTAATATATTTCTACAAGGAAAAAAAAAAAAAAAAAAACATTAATATAGTGAAAAATTAAAACCCACTGTGAACAGAGATTAGCTTTTAGAGGCTCAAAGTTGAAAAATGAAAATAAGCATATGATTTACTCGAAAATTCTTAATTAATCTAAGATTGGGATTTGGGACCCATAACAAAGAGTGGTGAACGCATGATATTAACTTTAGACCAATAATAAGAGGCCATTATCACTAATCCCGCCGACAATGACTTCTAAACCACACGTAATTGGATCTAAATGACAATTCCTTTGGAAATGAGGTCAAGCCATTAAGATAATACTCTCAAACCTCCAAAATTTCTAAAAAAGCATGGATATTAGTCTTTAATTTTGAAAATTTTTTGAATTTTTTCACCCGGAAATAAATATTGCCGAAATGTTTACCATGGTCCCTAATACTTTCCGTGAGTCCAATTGGCAGGGTGGAACCATCCAATTTGCCTTTAAATGACCAATTTACCGATTTACAACTTGCACCGATTTCATTAACTAAAGCTTACCACGAACATTTATGACAACATATAATGATCATAATTGGATCCAAACGGCATTATATGACCCCGAAATGTATCCCCTAAAATCTCAATGCTTTTCGACACCGGGCCCAAAACATTCGAAATTTCTCAAAAAATGTGGATATAAGCCTTCAATTTTGGAATTTTTTGACTTTTTTCGCTCGGATATAAAAATTGCCGAAATGTTTACTATTGTCCCAAATTCCCTCCGGGAGTCCAATTGGGTGGGTAGAACCATCCAATTTGCCTTTAAACGGCCAATTTACCAGTTTACAACTTGCACCGATTTCATTAATTCAAGTCTACCACGGACATTTATGACAACAAATAATGATCATATATGGTTCCAAACGACATTATATGACCACGAGATGTATTCCCTAGAATTTAAAGACTTTTCGACATCGGGCCCCGAAGACTCCAAAAATTTTCAAAAAACGTGGATATAGCCTTCAACTTTTGAATTTTTTGACTTTTTTTCGCCCGAAATTAAAATTTCCAAAATATTTACCATGGTCCCTAATACTCTCAGGGAGTCCAATTGGCTGGGTGGAACCATCCAATTTTTCTTTAAACGACTAATTTACCGGTTTACAACTTGCACCGATTTCATTAACTCAAGCTTACCAAGAACATTTATGACAACATATAATGATCATATATGGATCCAAACGACATTATATGACCCCGAGATGTATCCCCTAAAATCTCAATGCTTTTCGACACCGGGCCCCAAAACATTCAAAATTTCTCAAAAAGCTAGCGTGGACATTAGCTTTCCATTTTTGAATTTTTTGACTTTTTTTACCCGGATATAAAAATTGACGAAATGTTAACCATGGTCTCAATTCACCGGTTTACAACTTACACCGATTTCATTAATCTAAGTCTACCACGAACATTTATGACAACAAATAATGATCATATATGGTTCCAAACGACACTATATGACCCCGAGATGTATCCCCTTAAATCTCAAAAGTTTTCGACACCGAGCCTCGAAACATCCCAAATTTCTCAAAAAGCGTGGATTTCAATTTTAGAAATTTTTGACTTTTATACGCCATAAAATAAAAATTGCCAAAATGTATACCATGTTCCCTAATACCCTCCGGGAGTCCAATTGGGTGGGTGGAACCAACCAATTTTCCTTTAAACGGCCAATTTACCGGTTTACAACTTACCCGATTTCATTAACTCAAGCCTACAACGAACATTTAAGACAACATATACTGATCATTTATGGTTTTAAACGACATTATATGACCCTGAGATGTCCCCTAAAATCTCATTTATTTTCGACACTAGCCCCGAAACCTTCGAAATTTCTCAAAAACCGTGGATATCAATTTTGGAATTTTTTGACTTATTTTCGCCCGGAAATAAAAAATTACCGAAATTTTTACCATGGTCTTAATACCCTACGGGCGTCCAATTGGGTGGGTGAAACTATCCAATTTGCCATTAAATGACCAATTTACCGACTTACAACTTGCACTGATTTCATTAACTCAAGCCTACCACGATCATTTATGACAACATATAATGATCATATATAGTTCCTTACGACATTATATGACCCCGAGATGTATTCACTAAAATTTCAATACTTTTCGACACCGGGCCCCGAAACCTCTAAAGATTCGCAAAATGCGTGGAGATTAGACTTCAATTATATTTTTGAATTTTTTTTTACTTTTATTCGCCCGGAAATAAAAATTAGCGCAATGTTTACAATGGTCCATAATATCCTTCGGGAGTACACTTGGCTGGGTGGAACCATCCAATTTGCCTTTAAACAACCGAATTACCGGTTTACACCTTGCACCGATTTCATAACTCAAGCCTACCACGTACATTTATGACAACAAATAATGATCATATATAATTCCAAACGACATTATATGACCCCGAAATATATTTCCTAAAATTTCAAGATTTTTCGACACCGGGCCCCGAAACCTCCAAAATCTCTCAAAAAACGTGGATATTAGACTTTAATTTTGAAATTTTTTAACTTTTTTTCGCTCGTAAATAAAAATCGCCGAAATGTTTACCAGGGTCACTAATACGCTCCGGGAGTTCAATTGGGTGGGTAGAACCATCCAATTTGCCTTTAAACAGCCAATTTACCGATTTACAACTTGCACTGATTTCATTAACTCAAGCCTGCTGTTTCGGGGTTTTCTGATGTCCTGCGGGAGAGTTACAATTCCGAGACTGGAACCGGACGCCTGTACCTGCAAAACAACGGAGACTCCTGGTGGTGGGAGCTCCGCCTCCAACGGTCAAGTTAGTACTTGATTAAGGAGTAATTAATGCGGAAATTAAAGTGATTGGGTCTCTCTAGGTGAGAGTGTTTAATGTGAGTTTTTAGCGTAATCTTCTTTGTTAGCGTGATCAGCCTGTAACTCGTGTGTGTAATTAATGTGTAATCCCCCTTAATGAGGATTAAGGGAGGTATTTATAACCTTGGGAAACGTGCCAATCCTAGGTTTAGGTTAACCTAGGGCTGATTGGGCTTCCCTCGGAAGTTGGGCCTGGGTGGCCGGTTTCTCCATTAGGCATGGAGTATGTCACGTGTCATGACATAATAGGTCCAAGGTGGACGAATAAGCGTGTGCCACGTGGCAAGCCCTGACAGTTCCAACTGGGGGACACTTGGCAGGACCTGATTGGCCCACGTGGCGCATTCCGATTGGTGGGAGAAAAATCCCCTAATCATTTGCCCCTCACA